TTCGCACTTTGACTAAAAACTCTTCTTTAATTTTATTTCGACTCTAACCTGCTTCTAATTCCGAAAATACTGTGATTTTACTGTCACGTTGAATCAACGAGATCGGGAATGACGCCAACGCAGCAAGAATATATCCGATAGCGCATTAAAGTAACACGACACGCAAAAACGCATTAGGTAGTAAGTCTGTTTCACACCTCGTTTGTGGTGCACGCCTAAAATCAGACGCATCGCTCCTTCGCGATGGATGTACAGCACTGAGGTTGCTCCCGCAGTTGTTTCTGGTTTCCCCCCCTCCTCCGTTAATTCTTTTATTTTTTCGTTTGATTTTTTTTTTTTTAGTTGATTTCAAGATGTTATAAGTTTCTGTTCGTTCGTTTGAACTGGCGGAAGATCGGCACAGCGGTGACTTTTGCACTGAAAATGAAGAACGCGAAAGTCAAAGGGAGGTAATTGATACTCCGTGCTCGATGGTCTCGGGCTAATTAGAATACTTGTTGCTTCTGCTTGCTCGAAACTTGTTTCCCTGTTTATCTTTCCTTCCTTGCACTATCATTGTTGCCTATCGAAAGATTCTTCCATCGATCGGGAGATTAAAATATTCCATCAATGTTACATTTTATAATCGCGAAAGTAACACGCTTATATTTAACCTAAAAGGGTATTGATTTTCCTTCTCCTCTAACTGTGTAGATGCCGTGAATATGTTCCATCACGTGGAGTCAAATGTACATTTCTCTTTCTTTCATGATGTTATGCAGTTCTAATTTTTTAACACTGTTGAACATACTAAAAATTCAATGATCATTGAGAAATTTAATTCCTTGGAATATTTATATTTACTTTCAGACAATGTTTGGAACAGTTTAATGATCAAGGGGGGTATTTCGATGTTGTTGTGAGGCCAATGCTGCAACAAGGACACGAAGGGGAATTATGCGGATGGTTAAAAGAAATGAGTTTAATAAGGACTGTTTCTACTTGTCCGCATCCTGATTGCAAAGGCAGGAGTTTGGCTTGGAATCAGGCGAGAATTGTAGACAAATACAGTTGGTCATGTCCCAATTGTACAAGAAAACAGTCTATCAGAGAGAACTCATTTTTCGTTGGAGTCAAATGTGATCTGAAAATGTGCCTTCAATTGATATTAGGATGGTGTCAAATGATACCCAGCGAGCTTACTGCCAATTATCTAGGCATGTCTTACTGTTGAAAGTTGAGCATTGTAACTTTGAAACACTGTGAAAGCTTGCATTATAACTTTGAAACTGTGCAGAGTAAGAAATTTTATACATGTGATTTGTATTTTGCAGAAATAAAGAAACACGTAGTTAAGAAAGTATATGAGAGATGCGATGAAGTTTCGGAAAATTATGTGACCAGTCATCCAGAGGATTGGGTTCTAGGAGGTCAAAGTGCAATATTAATTGTGGACGAATTTCCTAATGGCTATATGACTGAGAATCCATCTGATATAACTAGTGCTAAGAAACGCAACAACAATTCTCACACGATAGTTTGCATAGCGGAAGCAAATACAATACCAACTAGAATGTGGCTTCACATGATTGAAGCATTTCCAGAGGTACAACTTTTCATATAAAGTTTCCCTTCTCTCTTTCATGTCATGATTTGTTGTAGCCAGTGAAGATAGATAAATCACAAGGTGATGCTGATAAATGCAAAATGGTGAAAGAGGCATTAAAAGAGATTGCAAAGCATAGTGCTCCTGGTAGTTACATCGTGGCAAATAATCGAGCTCGTTGTTGTAGTTTTGAATCATTGCAGGAATTGAAACAGTATAAGGTAATTAGCGTGGAGCAGCTCCAGAAGTTTGACCCACCGGGGAAAAACAAACTTCTTAATAATTTAGGTATGTATGTTGCTTGCTGCTTGTTGCTTGTTTGTATTATTGCGTGTTCCATTATTCATTTATATTGAATTGAATATTAAGAAACGATTTGGCAAACTGGCGTCGAGATTTGTGAAGAAATTCAAGAAACTACGCACACTCTAGGACAGCGTATAATATCGAAACATTTGTGGAGACAAAGATTCGGTACGTCTCCTTCTACCGCATTTCAATACATGCTTAATCATATCGCAGAATATTATCGTTTTATTTAAACTGACTCGTTACGGTATTTTCGCCAATTCTAGCATATTTTTATACCATGAAAAGCAATATCAAATGCTAGTGAGTAATTTCTTTTTAAACGGTATTTCGTAAAGTAACACTCTGAATCGAATTAAGACATCGTGACATAAAATATTAATTACCATTTCAATTGACTCCTTGTATATTCTCTGAAACGCGCAAGTTGCACAAATGGCCTTGTTAGATTTAAAAAGTGATGTATATATATATATATATATATATATATATATTGTAAAAAATATTTTCGTATAAATAAGGATATCACGAATTAATGTTTCACCGAAACACGCACTTTGTGTCTTCCAAATATCAAAAATATTCATAATTCTTTAACATGAATGTATATGATAATTGTTGATAAGTTAGAGTTAGGACGTTGTGAGAGATAATTTGTTAATGCACACTCGAAATATATTTTTCACTTTCTATCATCAATTTTTTAATAAATTTAAATCAATGGACTAGTTGTTGAAAGACTGATGGTGATATTGATATGATATCAAACTATTAATAAATCATAATAAACTAAATTACGAAATGATTTCAAATACTCAAAAAGGTTTGATAAAATTTATTGAAATACATAAAATAAACTTTCGTTTGTATCGCTAAAACATCAATTTATGATTGAAACATTGAAAATGTTTTATTCACTAAACTGCCTTCTGGAAAATTAAAATATTCAATACTATATTTAAATTAGAAATAAATATACAGGTCCGCGAACAACGAATCAATTTGTATTCTGCTATTAACAACACTTATTGAAATACTTATTGAAAAAGTAGAATTTTATCCAAAGTTTTACACCAGTATTATTCTGAATAATCATCTTTAATATAAGTTAAGAGCACGTTGATATTTTGTTCTAATTATAGTCGGTTTTCCTAATTGATATCACAGACTCAGTGGTATACTCTAGCAATTATATGTCAGTTTGTGATAAAACCGGCTTTGTGATATGGAATTATTAGTTTTATTCGATTCACAAATTATATCACCAAAAAAAAAGAAGAAAGTACCAAGGTTGTCAAATTTTTGAGAAGTTTTTCGCGAATAATGTGATAATGACGTTACTTCGTGTGGGAGATAATATATTGCAAGTTGAGAAGATAAGAAAATTATTTTATAAGTTGACATAGAATTTAATGCACTATATACTGTGGTTAAGATTTTTATTCCTATATAATTTATAGTGTATCGTTTTATAATCTAACTTGTCGATATTATTAGAAAACAAAACTTCTTCATTGAAAAGCTGAAAAAATATTCAATATTTTTATAATGATTCATCATCTAGCAATATTGTTATAATTATATAATAAGGTATTTTGTACGAAATTATAACACATTCTAAGCTACATTTAAATACCAAATAAAACAATATTATTTCATACATCACGTTTATTCTCTGTTTGGGATAAAAAAATTCCATAAATGTTTTTATGTATATTTTTATTTACAACAAATAAAGATAAAAAGTAAGATAGATAACAAAAATATGTTTCATTAATCTCGTACATAAAATATATTTAATTAGTGAAAAAATTGTGTACGAAGTAGCACATTGCTTTTCTTTATTCATTTGTGAGATTCTGTATAATTTTCTAAAATTTTTTTTTTTATTTATTCACGTCCATTAATGTAGCGTTAATAGTCATAGACGTAACGCTTGTAATAGCAGTTATAAAAATTCTTCGCTCATAATTTCTTTGTAATCTTTCTGATCTTGTACCATTCTTCGAAATACTCGATATTTCTGAAGATGATATCTTGAAGAAAAAGAAAAAAAGAAGAAAAAACGATGTGCATTATAACTTTCAAAAATTTCAATAATCTTTTAATCTGAATTTGCTTACTTGTAGCATTCGTTTTTAGGTTTGATGATATTTGCAGATCCTCCCATTGTTTGTGTGGCGTCGTATATTGTATTAAATTTCCCAGCTGCGTAAGACCCTAGAATTGCAGCGCCTATTAGCACTGATTCCTTTTCGACGGGGCATAACACGGGTAAACCTAACACATCCGCTTGTATTTGAATAAATAACGGATTCTGACTCAAACCGCCGCAAATTAACAAAGTGTCTATTCTATGACCGGCAGCTTCCAACGTTTCCAAAATATACCTTGTACCATACTGTTAAAGAAACATTGACTTTAATTTTTTGTATAGAAAAAGAAAAGTATAGGAAACTGATTAACATAATATATTCGTACCGTTAAGGCTTGTACCGTTGCCAAGTATAATAATGCCAAGTTTTCTTGATCGACGGACAGAGAGAGTCCTGAAATCTATGTAATGATGTTCAATTGAAATACCTATTACAAAAACTATACAGTTCTTACATTGGTAGTGAAACGTGTCATGCTATTACCATGCCTTTAAGGGTTGGATCAGCTAAAGGGGATCGATTTCCGTGAAAATCAGGCCATACATGAATATCTTTCGTTAAATACGAGACGTCTTTCAAAGCCTTCTGATCAGTCATCGTTTGCAACAATTCAGACAAATATTGCTGTATGTGTCTAAAAGATTACATAACAAATAAAAACAAAGTTTCAACAAATGTATTCAAGTCATTTTAACCTACTTATTGCCGCTTAAGCTTTTCAAAATCCCTGGTGTTGCGGGATGGGTATCGATTATGTGATCGAGCAACTTTCCAGTTGCACTTTGTCCTCCTTCGCTCAACCACAATCCCGGAACCATGGCACTGAAATATGGTCCCCAGACGCCGCTGACGAAAAGTTTCTTCTCATTAACTATCATATGGCAAGTCGAAGTGCCACAAATTAATGCTGTAAATTAAATTAATTAATTAAAAAGATTGGAATGTATAAGCAGCGGAAGAAATGTAACATGTGATAGGAAAATTTACGTATACCTAATCTGCTTTGTAAATTAGGAAACACCCCAGGTATAGAACAACCTATCATACCAAGTCCTCCAGCATGGGCATCAATGAGGGATGTTCCCACAGCTGTTCCTTTTTGGAGTCCTAACTCAGATGCAGCTTTTGCCGACAATCCTTGGTCGACAGGGTCGCCCGGAGTCCTCACATCATTACCTTCGTATTAATATTTCTCTTTGTTAAAATAAAGTAATAGTTTCATATTATCTGTCTAAACACAAAAGAGATTTGTTAACGTGTTTACTCAAAAACTACATGATTCAAACGAAATAGCTTTCATTTAATATAATAGATTTATGTTTAGCTGATTAACTGAATATTATATAAAATTATGAACAATACCTATTTTCCTCCAGTTATCCTTCTTAAGATCTCTCAACTGAATTTGATCAAAGAATTCCTCGTTCCATTTATTGTTACCATCGGGATCAGCACTGTAATTCCACTTACACACTAAAGAGCATAGAGATCTGAAATTAGATTGGAAAATTGTAACAGAATATTCATGTAGCAATTAGCATAAAATAATGTTACAATGTTACCTTGATTCAGAATCTGTAGCCTTCCATGTCAAAAAATCAGGTAGATCAAATAGCAGTGCTGCACGATTCCAAGATGAAAGTAGATTTTTTTTTAGCCACAACATTTTAGGTGTTTGCATTTCTAATGACACTTTTCCACCTACATATTGAAGCATTTCGTGACCTTGTGCATTTATGAAATCTGCTTCTTCCTGTGCTCTGTGATCCATCCATAATATAACATTCTGTTTATCTTCACCTGTAATGAAAATTTATTTGATAAACAAAGTTTTCACTTGATTAAAACTTGCAATTCCAACTGCAACTTGTAAATATACCTGTTGGACTAACTGTGACTGGTGATCCTGTTTTATCAATTGCTACTAATGAACAAGTAGCATCAAAACCAATGCCCTTTACATTATCTGCAGAGATATCAGCTACAACAGTCTATGAATAAGAATAAATAAATTATGTGTGTGCAAATATTTGAGTTTATCATAAAGAATACAAATTGATTAATTTTATTGAAGTTTCTACCTTCACTACATGGCAGACTGCACTCCAAATGTTATCAGATGACTGTTCATAAAAATTAGGGGCAGGATGAAAAATTTCAAGTGGACAAGTTGTCATTTTCACTATCTTTCCCTTGGAAGATACTAGAGCAGCCCGGACACTTCCTGTTCCTACATCAACACCCACAAAGTAATCCATGTTTATATTCCTTGGACGTATTCCTTAAGTTTTCGCTAAGAGAATTCAATTGAATGTTTTGCGTCAACTAAAATCATTGTGAGCTGCAAATAAGAGTATGTGGGCATTATCTGTAAAGCTTAACTGTAATCATAGGCTTATTTTTTAATCTCACATGACCCTGAGATAACTTCTGTGGCAATAAGAAACAGTGAAGTAATAGCAATACAATAACTTATTGCTGTATGTTTCTTTCACTCTTTAACTCTATTTCACGCATAAAACGAAAGAATGATTAATCAATTAAATTAGTTTTATGAAATAAATTGCTTAAGATTAGATTTGAAGAATCTAACAATAAAACAGAAAGTATGCTGCATCAAAACGTACAGTTCCGAAAAAGTAACGTTACAAATGAAATGCTTAATTACGTAAGTATGCACGATGCATACGTAAACTCGCATACGTAAACACGTGTACATAAAAAATTTTACGTGCATTATCTCGTTTGATCATTATATGTACTACCTCGCAACATGGTCTTTGGTTTCTTCGAATGTTCTATATAAGGTTCCATTAGATTTTTCGATAATTAATTAAAGAAAAAAGATGCTAATCGCTAGGAAGAATTCGAAATGAGAAATAAAAGATTATACTGCTGGAAAATAACATCGAAAATATGATATACATTGCACGCATGCACGTGTACAATTGCGTTTGACAGCGCAGCGACCTAGCATTACCTTGCCTATTGAACAATCAAGAGTAACGCACGTGCTAATATTTAGAAATTTGTTAGAAATTTGTTAAAACAGTTTGTTAATACATTTTATCAATTGTTAAATTAACGTGCATTTACTAATGACGTGCATGTGATTAATGCACATGTTGCGTATGATTAATAGTTTCTTGCCGTTTTTTATTGGTCATATTTCGATTCATATAACCTAAAATATGGTTCGGTTTAAAAACAGGTAGATTCAGTAATAGAATTTTAGTTTTTTACTATAAATCATCATTGTGATATTATCCATTCATTTACTTTTATTTATTATGTATTTTATTATTAATTTTACGTATATTCGTAGATATATAGTGTGTGAAATAACCGTTGGTGATAAATCCAAGAAACCTATGCAATTAAAAGTTACAACTTTGCACAATGCTATTCAGCAGAAAGTGCAACAATTGTACGGCGATTTTGGAGTTGCAGCGATAAAAGCTGGATTTAGTGGTAATATAAAATTTCACTATGTAGTAAAAAAATTAAACTTGAAGTAAATGTGTATATATATACAATTCTTTTTTTCAGCAAAATATTGCAATGCACACACAAAACTTGCAATAGTAAAAAGTAGACATGGTCCCCACAAGTTTTTGTTAAATGCCATCCCAACTATTAACGATGTTGCAGGGCGTTTGGTATCTGTAAAAATATTTTATGTGAGTGCAACAATAAAACATTGTTTTCTTTTTATTAAAGTAAGTAAAACCGTCAAATTATATAAGAATCCGCATCACAAGGTGTCTGCTGTAAAACTAAATGTACATTTTTCAGAAATTCCAACAACAAAAGCTTGAACAAGCATGGAACACTCTTAAGACTGAGACTGAACGAAAAAATATGAAGGATGCATTAATGACTCTAACACCAGCCATGAAAAACTGTACATAAAGCGTATGCTTTTGCAAAGTATATTTTAATCTAATATAAATATAAATTATATAAATTTGATAAGTGAATTTCTTGAATTCATTTTATTCTAAATACCATGTACGTAATAATATAATTTCAATTGTTTATAGCAGATTGTACTTTCACTTGTTCCTAAATTACATAAATTATATGAATTTAACAAATGAATTTCTTGAATACATTTTTCTCTAAATACTATGTACATAATAATATAATTTCAATTGTTTATAGCAGATTATATTTTCATCTGTTCTTAAATTATATAAATTTTACAAATGAATTTTTTGAATATATATATCATGTACATAATACCATAATAAATATAATAATATGATCAAATAGTATAATTTCATATGATCCGTTTGCAGTGAATTACATTTCCATCTGTTCCGCCGTTCGCGCGAAAAAGCGCGCGAATATTTCAAACTTTCAACCACCAATTTGTCGTGCGTTCCACCATTCCAACATGTTTAGACTGCAAGGTTACCAGTCGATGAAGGGTGCGCGCAAGGGTCGTTGTTGGCCGTCGCCAGTTGTCGCTGGCTGTTGCTGGAGTGTCGGTCGCTCTCCTCTTCCACGGCGCAAAGTGACGGTGGCTCGAACGAACATAGCTGGCAGTCGATCCGCGAAGGTGATCTCCCAAAGTGGTGTGATGGTTGTGTTACAAGCCAGTTATGAACCAACCGAAACTGTAAATTGCTTCATCTAGTTACCTCGCGGAATCGCGCATAGTAATCTCCCACGAACGAAGAAAACGAAAGATACGTACGTACGTCGCACGCTGTCTTATTACGATTCTATCAAACGATCACTCGGTTTATTCAGGTAATTGAATGTCTCGCGTAACGACGAGAGATCAAAAACCGGCACGTCTCGGCACTAACCGGTGCCTCGTCACCTTGTAAATAAATCGTAACTCGTAAATAAATGTGCCACGTATCGAAATCGACGGGAAAGCATCAACAAGGACGGCAGCGTCTTCTGGTGTCTCTGAACGAGGATCGAGTGCTTGCGTGTTCGAGGTAAGGAAAGAGGCAGTGGCCCTTCTCGTTATAGGTTATCGATTTCGTTTCGTTTCCGTGTCGTTCAAGGGGATGCACGTTCGGAATTACGTTAAAATTATACGACACAAATCCGTCCGGTTCTCGTTCTCCTTCCTTTTGTTTGCGTTTTAACTGGCTATCGGATCTTCTCGGAAGAGAATATATATTTCTCCGTTTGGTTGAATGGAACGATCGATTCGCGAAGTTAGTGGCGTCGCACCCTTTGGTCGAACAGATGTTATCCTCTGCGAGAGTCGAACGATAAGGCATCACGTATCAAAATATCAGCAGTTATTTAAATAATAGAGCCTGACGTGTCGTGTGTTATTGTAAACAGGATTAAACGACATTCGTGGCAGCGAACTAAACACGTACGAGCCTGCTTCTTAAAACGGACGAATAAATATGCATGGACGTACGTCGATCTCGCAAATAATCGATCTTTGGAACTTTTAGTAAACTAATTACCTTCAATCTTAACGCGACAAATCTTTCGCGAGTGCTTGTACCGAAGGAAGATATCTCGAAACGAAGTTTTTTTTTAGGGAAAAAAATTCTTGAAAAATTATTATACGCAAGTTCGTTTCTGAGAAAGTTGCAGGATAGAAAAATACATATTAGTGAGGTAGAGATCCGAAATGAAATGTAGTGGGCTCTGACTGCTTGATTCGCCCCCGAGTATTTTATTTGGGAATCGTTTACGAGTGTCGCGCAGACCTCTCCGGAAGCTGTCCAGGCAAATGTCATTCCCGCTCTTAAGTATCGTCGCCCGAGATCGAGACCTTTTTTTCTTTTTCCGCGTGTGCTCCCGGATTACAATACTGTGCTCCGTCAAAAATAATATCGCGGCCACGCTGTCCGCCGGGATCATCAATGTGGTAACAGTAGAAATCTACCCTTCGTCAGAATCGTGAATTTTCACTCACTCGGTAGAAAAATATATCGAACGTCCTTCTCCCTCTTATTCTCAAACAACACACCGGAAATGTAACATAATTGACGATTGTGCTCCGACAATAATCATAATTAAAAATATATTGATAATTAATATATAATATGTTAATTATATCGATAATTAAAAATGTCCTTCAATTGTTTATTTTTGAATGACATATCAGAAATATAATACAACAATTGACGATTGCGTTCTGATAATAATTATGATTAAAAATATGTTGAATGTCCGCCACCCGGTTATCCAATTCTGATATTCGAAGAAGTGGATTCGATCGATGATTCGTCGTCAATTAACCCGTGCCGTTTCACTAGCTACAGTGAACGTTTTCCGTCTTCTCGAATTTATTTGCTTTTCAACCGTTTGCACTTATTCAGCAACGAACGAGAGAGAGAGAGAGACAGGCTCATCTAGGTCGATATCGACAGCTCGATTGGCTACAATCTTTGACGAAAAATCTTTAGCACAATTTCGCTCGTCATTTTTCTTTTTTAGGTTAGGTTACGAGTTGTCAATTCGTTTCAAACACAGGGGCCAATAATGTTGTTGTTTTCTTTTACAAGCTCACGTTGCATCGTTGCATGTATGTATTTTTGTGAATGTGGAACGATCTATAAATATTTTAAAGAGATATAATCGTTACCGAACAAATCAGTCACTGGCGCGAAGTAGTAACACGCGTGTCTACGAATAATTCGGTGATCTTCGCGTGGAGGTTATTCATTAAGCCAAGTTTACACAGTGGGACGCGTTGCTCTGCGGAAAGGGTAGATAAGCTCGTGTAATCGTCGACGATAGTATCCTCTGGAACGACTCAATATAACTGGCGCGGACGAACACGAGAACGAAATATTAAAAGAGACTATAATACGATAAGTATAGAATATTTGTTGCCGTAATTAAAAAAAAAATATATATATATATATATAAAATACAAAGGAAAACGATACTTTAAATTAAATTCTTTTAAATTAAAAGTTTTAAATTTCCATCAGAGATAAATGAAATTTATTTTATGGAAAATCATTTATTATTTGTTTTTTGTTAAATCATTAATTATTTATCTTTATTAAAATACACTGTTTGTAAGTTCGTACTGAAAAGTTCATTCTCCCATGGGAATTTAATTAGAAACAAAAATTACAAGTTGCTCGTTTTTTCAGTATTTCGGTGTTCAACGCGTTTTTTTCTTTTTTTTTTTTTTTCGCCGCTCATTATATAAACCCCAGGGTTGCCTGTCGCAACTGTATTGTAAGTAGGGCATAAGGATGACCATTACGTAATTCTCATGAAAGCGAAGTTATTTGCAGATTGTATCGTTTATTTCGACGGTCGATTTGAGGCCGTCGTAAATGCAACGAAACGCGAATACCTTGGCAACCGTCACGTGTTTTTTTTCCACCTTTAATTAGTCGTTTTGAGAGTAGTTGTTTAGGCAAGCCACGAAAACAACGTGCAGAGGACAAGCCGCGGGAAAAGTTCGGGACTTGACGAAAGTCTACGTTCTATTTTCTTCCTTCGCGAACAAATTACTGATGAATTATTTTTCTATGTATATACAGGGTGTCTCGATTAATTTTGTCAACAATCATCTCGACATTTTTTTTTTTTTTTTCGTCAATTTTCGATCACGTTTCGCCCGCGAAAAAAGCGATTCTCGCGATAATTCCAATTCGAGGAGCGCATAGACCACGCGTTCACAGTGGCGAGCAAGTGGAACGAAAATAAAACGAAATGGTAAGAAGTACGTAAGTTGGATGGGTCGAAATTACTTTCCACTTTTAACGATGCGCGAGGCTCCATTGCTTTCGGTGGCGGATTAATGCTGTTGTTACATGCTTCGCATAGTTTTTTTTTTTATTATTATTATTATTATTATTATTATTATTTCTTGCTGATTTCATAAGGAAACACGACACGCTTTCTATCATGACAGAATTAACGTTGTAAAAATAATTCTTCTTTCTAAGTTGTGAACCCTTTGGACCTCGTACGCTAGAAATTTGATTCTGTAAATTTACAAATTTTACGCAATACACCCTGCGCGACCCTCCGAAGTCTTGCGCAAGTTTTGCAAGTTTCATCGAGGGAACGTTACAAAAAATAACTTGTATTACAATTTCATTAAATAAAAAGCCGGTTTTAGCATTAATTGTAAAACATAAATTGTATTACATTGTATTAATTGTAAAAACGAACAATATTATTACAATGATAAATAATTACAAAATAATAAAATTGCATTACAATTGTAGTAAATAATAAATGAACTGTGAATTTGCAATTACCAAAAATAAATAAAAAAAAAATGGTAACTTGAAATCATTAAATAAAAAGCCAGTTTAGGTTAGGTTTAGGTTAGGTTTTAGCATTAATTGTAAAAAATGAACAATATTATTATAATGATAAATAATTATAAAATAATAAAATTGCATTATAATTGTAGTAAATAATAAATGAACTGTATTTGCAGTTACCAAAAATAAA